GCTCGCCGCTTGGCCTTTCGGGAAAGGTGGAGGGCAAAAAAGGGTGGGAGCAGAAGCGCTCTACTGACGGAAGTTTTTGTCCGCCCTGACTTTTTTCTGGCAGGCGGATGCGGGGGAGTGAAAGGGTGAGGTCGTCCCACGGTGCTGTGCAGACAGGCCGGTTATGCTTATCAGGATTATCCAGGCTTTTCCACCCGAAATTTTATGCCGATTAACAGCAGTAGTTTGCGTTAATAATCAAGTATTAATTATTAAGTGTGACATCGGGGCATCTTTGGAATCAGAAAACGTGCGAATCGAGGCCTCTGTACCATCTTGGGCCTCAGTTTCCTAATCTGTAAAACGAGAGTGATTGTAAAACTGCTTTGTAAAATGTAAAGCTTTACGTAAACCATTGTCTGCTCTACTTTGGAAGTGTACAAATATTAAAGATTTGAAGTCTGAAAATAGATGCCATTCAGGCACTCTGTCCTCTTTATACCTTCCCAGACTAGCCCCTCTGTTTTATTTCTCAGTGGCTCTTACAGCTAGTGTTTGTTTCATTAGTTCTCAAGTTGTCACTGGTTTTTGTACAGTGACTTCATGAAATAACGCTTAATGGAGACAGGCTTTTCTGTTGCTCTAGTTTGCGTGATGAAAAGCATGGCTGCTATATTAGTTAGCTTTCTCTAGTTAAGCCGTGGTAACAGAAGACGCCAAAATCTCAGTGCTTTACAGCAAGAGTGGTTCATGTCTCACTATGTAACGTGGGCTGGGAGAGGGTTGTGGCTCCGTGCTTCGTGTGTCTTCTGCATTCTGGGATGCAGGAAAGGGCTCTCGTGAGTACATACAAGTGATTAATTTGTATTCTATCAGTTGCTTAAAGGAAAGTTTTAATACTTTTAAACTTTTCAGAACTTTTACGAATGCTCTGTCCATTAGTAGTTACCGCTCAGAACTTGACTCATGGTCGATTGTCAGTGAATATTTGTTGAGTGAATGAAGAAACAACAGCCCATCCTCTCTCTGGTTTTGCTAACTACTCAGGACCAGAGTCTAGAAAAGTTTTAAAGCAGGTGGCTTCCCTCAGTTATTACAGAGAGAATTCTGGTGACTGAAAGGGTGTGTAAAGAGCTGCAGACTTTTTTCAGGAAGTTTCACTCAGGATGAGTTAGCCTTGGGCGGCACGCATCTCCCTGACGGTGAGGTGCTGTGCGTTCTGGGTCTGCCGGCTCCCTTCGTAACCTCTGCAGACCAGCGGACTCTGTTCAGTTTCGATTTGCAAAAGGAAGAGTGTACTGGAAGAGTTGCTGGGGAGCAGCAGGTCGAACCTGGAAATGGTGAAGCAACTGCAGCAAAGTGGCTCCTGTCTCATCAGTGTCTCTTTCCCCATCCGGAATCAGAGTCTGGAAGACAAACTTCTGCTCGTGTGCCTTGCCCACCAGAACTTGAGGAAGCCTAGGAGAAATGTCCTCCTCCTATCTTTCCCAAATATGTCTACTTCAAAGAGACCTTGTATGATAGGGCAACAAGAACAGAAGGGCAAGTCCCTTCACCTATTCCCCCTCTTCTCCCAGTGCCTCCTCTCCCTTTCAAGAACCCTGTAAGCTTGCTTCCTTCTGAGCTAAACTTCTGTCAGTCAGTTACATACATCTTACTGTCAACAAGGCTTCTGACTGGGCAGGGTTTTTCCAACTGCAGATTTTCATCCTGAAAATAGGTCCTGAACTTAACTAAGCATAAAAAAAGAACTAGAACAGAATAGGAAGCATCAAAGGGTTCATATGTAATAAGGGTAAGTATTGTTTTGTAAGACTTTTGTTACACACACACATACACACATCTATAACGGGTACAGATAGGATCATGATGTTACAAGTATTTCTTACTGTGAATCATGATAAAGTTTGAAAAGCCACTGTAACAGGGCTTATTCTTCCAAGTGACGGAGCAAATGAGGAGACCCGTAGTTCAAACACTCTCCTGTATTCACTCAGATGATTGCTTTTATTACAGGTGTTTAACACTTAAGCTATATTTTGCAAAAAGGGGGGTTTGTAGTGTCAGCATGGGGGAATACCTACATGTTTCAAACAAATGATTTAGAAAGAAATCTGTGTGTCAGGGAGCTTTAAAGAACATTTTAGGGGAGCATACAAGATTTTCTGGGCTTCAAAAGAGTTGATTTTTCTTACTCAAAATTTATGAGCCCTTGAACATTTTCTTTCAGTGAATGTTTAAACTTTTATTTATATATTTTTAAAATTTTTGAGTAGGTAATAAGGGCTTGTACCGAGTTGAATACTGTCTCCTCCACATTCATGTCCACCTGGTATCTGTGAATGTGGCCTTATTTGGAAATAGGGTCTTAGTAGATGTAATCAAGGCAAGATGAAGTCATACTGGATTACGGTAGCCCCCAATTCAGTGACCAGTGTCCTCCTAGGAGGAGAGACACAAGACACACAGACATAGGACCCATTACTGATAGACTACAGTGTGAATGGGACTCCTGGAGTTGTGCACTGCATAAGATGTGGTTTTGGGTGCATGGTAGAAAATTAAAAAGAAACAAATAGGTGTACCCCTCTGTTTTCCTCCGTGGTGGAATCTACTCTTACTAGTTTGTCATTTAGCAACACTTTAAGGAACCCAAACCGTTTTCAGCTGTGCTAGGTCAACATTTTGCGGTACTTATCTCGCCTTAAAGATAATGTCCTGGAATTTCTTATCTATCTCATGTATTCTTTCTTAAGAATTAAAAAAAAATGCATGCTTTCTTAGTTTATAAGAATGTGTGGTTTAAAAAAATTCTCAGTGCGTGTAATTATCCTAATAGAGGTTAATTTATTTTCTGCATTGTTTTTAGAAAATAGCTTCTGACATTTAATATCACATTTATTCAACATCTGCCATTTGCAACAGATATGCCAAGAATTTGATTAATGTTTGAAACCTGATGTAGCTTTCACTTCTCAGAGACCGGAATGTGAGATGCAGAGCAAACCAAGATCCCAAATAAACAAACAAAAAGAATTAGTTATCTTCTGAACTATTTAAATTATTTAAACTCATAGCTCCCTAACATGAAACCCATGTTAGATGACATAACGTGAATTAATGTAGAACTAATATATATTTTTAACTTCATGAATTAGGGGAGAACACTGCAAAAATTAAGTAGAAATCAAGGTTTCTGAATGGGGAGCTCAACAAGTAGAAAGCTAGAGTGTTGGATGGGAAATCGTCTCTGATGCTGGCACACGGGGTCAGCTTCATGGGTGTGTGACCCGTGCACACCAAAAGCACCATCCATAAAAGAGAAAATTGAAAATTGGACTTCCTTAAAATTAACTCTTGCTCTTCAAAAGATTATTAGGAAAAAGATGCCTTAAACTTATGAGGAAGATTATTAGGAAAAAGAAAAAACAAGCTATAGACTGGGAAAAAATATTTGCAGATCCAATCTATCGGATAAAGGACATACCCATAACATATAAAGAAGACTCAAAACTCATAATAAAAAAACAAACAATACAATTAAAAAATGGGTAGAAGATTTGAACAGATACTTCACCAAAGAAATATAAGCACATAAAAGGATTCTCAACATCATTAGTCATGGGATACCAGTACCCACCTATTAGAGTGTCTAAAATTAAAAACGCTAACCAGACCAAGTGTTGGAAGAGGATGTAGAGGAACTGGAACCCTCAACACCGCTGGCAGGAATGTAAAACTGTACCACTACTTCACAAGCAGTTTAGCAATTTCGTAAGTGAAATATACAGCTACCTACCATACGCTGCAGCCATTCTACTCCTGGGAATATACCCAATAGAAATGGAAGCACATGTTCACAGACGTGTCTGAATCTTTCTGGTATACTTTACTCTTCATAGCAGCTTCATTCCTACAAGCCCCAAACTGGAAACAACCGAAATGTCCACCAAAGGTGAATGCATAAACCAACTGTGGTATAAACATAGTCAGCAATAAAAAGAAGTGAACTACTGATACACACAACAATGTGGCTGAATCTCAAAATAACTGTGCTGCATGAAATAAGCCAGACCAAAATAGTACCTACTTATGATTCCATTTACATAACATTCTAGAAAATGCAAATTTATTGTTACAGAAAGCAAATCAGTGGTTGCCCAGGGAAGGAGGCGATGTGAGAGGAATTAGAAAGAGGCACAAAGAAACTTTTGGGGGATGATGGCTATGTTATTTTTATTGCAGTAGTGGTTACACAGGTGTACACATGTCAAACCTCATCAAATCGTATACTTTAAATATGTGGTTTATTTTGTCAACTATGTCTCCATAAAAGTGTTTAAAAAGTGAATCTACCCTTCAGAATTCAGTCTTGCATGAACCTTTTGCTTAACAGAAAATCCATAAAGCACAATCTAAAAATGCATAAACTAAATAATGTCGATTTCAGGTTTCATCTTTTCCAGCGGCACCGTAGCACACGGGCAGAGCTGTGTGGGTGTGGCTGTTTGATATAAAAGGACGCCCGGCACAAGGACAGAGAATGCTTTAACTTCACTCCCTCGAGGGTGACTTCCCTCAAGCAGGCACTGCTCAGCGTGCCAACCTCCACCCGCTCCCAAAACGTGGTAAACGCCAGCAATCTCCCTGTGCGTGCGATGAGACAAACGCTGCAAGAATCCAGCCAGCTCCGAGCCCGAGACTCCACCACTGCCAGGAAAAATCCTACTACGGGGAGAGTGAAGAGTGTGACGAGAGCCTGGGGCTGGGACAGGACTGGGAATCAGTTAAAAAAAAAAAAAAAAAAAAAAAAGAAAGACACTGGCCAGGGTCATCCGGCCGCGCCGGCGCCGGCAGTGCCCTTGCTTTCCGGTCCGGCGCAGCCCCCAGCCCCTGCTCTTTCGGTCCCGCCCGCTGGCGGTCCGTTCCGGCTTCTGAGCGCACTTCCGGCCGCCCTCTGAGCGGCTGCCGAGCGGGGTGCATTCCCCGTACAGTCTCTCCTGGGGTGCACCTATAGGGCAGGCGGGGAGTGCGGGTCCTCCTTCTAGAGTCTGAAGGTTGGCGGGGAAACCACCCGCCGTGGGCCTCCCGCTTGCTCCGCGAGAGCTGCCTTTAAATTCCGAAGGCCCAGCCCCTCCTCCCCCGGAAGCGCTTGAAGGCGGGTCTTGGGCCTGCAGGGCCTTCGTCCTCTCAGCGCCCGCGTTTCCTCAGTGAGGACACGGGGAGGCGGGGGGGAAATGAGGGGAGGACCTGGGCGCCCAGCTCCCGCCCCTCCGCGGCCGGGCGGCTCGTTTCCGGCGCGACTTAGTTGTGGGCTGGGACCCTTGTAATACCGCCCGCCCTCCCTCCCGGTCCAGCCCCCAGCCATGCCAGCGGGCGTGCCCTGGGCCACCTACCTGAAAATGTTCGCTGCCAGCCTGCTCGCCATGTGCGCCGGGGCCCAAGCGGTGCACAGATACTACCAGCCGGACCTGGTGAGTGCGCGGGCGGCCGCGGCCTCGCTCCCGAACCGCCCCCGTCTCCGCGCAGCCGCAGAAATGATCGGAACACGAAGTTTGGAGCATCTCTGCCCTGGGCCTTAGGGTGGCATCCCATTGCATTTAGAGCAATGCATGGCCTGCTCGTACAGGTTTAGGGTCTTACACGGTCTGGCGCCTGCCTGCCACCGGCTTTACCTTCTACCGTTTCCCCCTTGTTGCCTCTGTTGCAGCCACACCGGCTTCCTTGCTGTTGCTTAAACTCATCCAGCCTGTCCCCACCTCCAGGCCATGCTTTTTCTCTTCTTGGAGTGCTTTTCCCCCAGGTCTTGGCTTGATTTCCTTCTACAAAACCTCAGGCCTCCGCTGAAATATCTTCTCCAGCAGGAGGGTCCTTTGGACAGCTCCTAAAGGATTCTTCCTCTGCGATTCTGCCTCAGTCTTTTGTTTTCATAGAGCACTGTCATAATTTGCAATCATTTTATTCCTTTGTTTAGTGGTTCTTGGTTTCCTCCCCTGGAATGTAATCTCCAGGAAGGGACTGTGCCTGTCCGCTTCACACTTGTATGTCAACCACTAGAAAAGAACTTAGAATGTAGTAGATGCTGAATAAATACGTGTTGCATGAAGAATGAGTGGATGTATGCATTTAAAGGAGGGAGAAATTTAAATTTATCTTAATAAGCATTCATGGAATTAGGAACTGGCAATTAAAGGTACTTTTGAGGAGTGATGCGCTTGGGGAGGTGGAGATGAGGAAGTATGGTGCAAATAATTGTAATTGTAAGAGGGTGCTAAGTGTTATGCTATAGATGTGAATGGAGTGCTTTGGAGCGCAGTGTACGGAGCAGTCATTTCTGCCTGGACTCTGCACAGGTTACACTTACGGAGAACCAACCGTTTGTGTTTCTCATTTCAGTTAGTTGTCACTACAGTTTTGGCGGTATTTATTCTTGTTTTCAGATGAGGAAACTGAGTCTTGGAAGAGTGCAGGTGACTTCCCAAAGTCGCTTAGCTTGATGAGGATTTGAAGCCCAAGCTTTCTGTTTAATGTTTCTCTCTTTTGATCCTGTTAATAAAATAATACAACACCCTTGTAAAACATTCACGTTGAATTGAAGTATGTAAAGTAAAAAGTGAAAAATCCCCCCACTTACAAGCTCCTTTCTCCAGTCTCCTCCTCAAAGGTCACTACCGTTTGATGGTGGGTGTATATCCTTCCAGACTTTTTACTATTGTTGAAAACACAGAGACACACACTTATTTTTGGGGGTGTTTTTCCTCATATAATAGGAGTTCATATACACATTTCTCTGCAACTTGCTTGTTTTGGTTAACATCTGTATGAATAGATGTTTGTTTATATCACTGGGCTTTTCTCTTTCTGACCAATGCATAGTATTTCATAATACAGATATTCCGTATATTATTTAGTCAATCCCCTGTCGACATTTGGGTGGTATCTACTTTTTGTGCAAACAATGCTGCAGTCGCTCTGTCTTACCACTTCAGACTGCCTCTCTTTTGAGTTCTAGGGAAGCATCAAGGATACTTAGTGGAGACAGAAGAGGGTAAGAACCTTCCAACGCAGTTCAGTCTCTGGCTTATACAGGAATAGACATCAGGCAGGCCTTACAAAAGACGGAAGGAATGCCTGTGATTTGACCCTGGGAAGCTGACCTTTGATTCACCCATCTCATTATAAGTGGGATTATGCAAGGGTTGTTACCAGAGCTACCGGGACCTTGGGACGAGGCAGCACGAAGCCAGAATCTCCAGAAGGGCACACTGAAGCGCCTCAGGCCGCCTCATCCTGATTGGGCTGTGACATTGTTAGTGGGGCTCCTCTGTAGACTTGAGGCCAGAGTGGCTGGCCGTGTGTAGGATGCTGTATGCCTTACTCACATTTAAGGAATTTACCTACATCTGTTGGTATTGTTCCAGTGCTTACTGCCACTGGCGGTGATTGTGAACAACCTCGGGCCTTCCCAGGAGTCTTTCCCTCTGGGCAGCTAGAAGGTCTAGGTGGAGTCCAGAGCAGAGGAGACCCTGGGGGCTGCCTAGGGCTTGTGCTCAGTGCTGTCTTAAGGGAGTAGCATTAAAGGCGCTTTTCTCTAGTTGTCCAGCTCACCGTCAAAATGGGAGAGGAGGCGAGGACTCGAGGCAGGTGCTCTGTCCTGGAATACAGGGGTGCCTTTCGCTTGAGCTTCCCTTTTGCAGCTTCTCTAAAGTCCTCAAGCAGCGTGAACAGAGGAAAGGACGATGAGAAACCATGCCACAGGGGCTCCTGACAAGAAGCAACCAAAGTCTTAAGTTTACTAACCAGTCAGTGATTAACTGTTTGTAAAGTTTGTTTGTAATTTTACTTTTACTTGTTCTTTTTTCCTTAATTTATAATCTTTTTTTCCTCCCTGCTTTTTCTCCCCAAATCCCCCCAGTAAATAGTTGTACATTTTAGTTGTGCGGTCTTCTAGTTGTGGCATGTGGGACGCTGCCTCAGCGTGGCCTGATGAGTGGTGCCATGTCCGTGCCCGGGATCCGAACCAGAGAAACCCTGGGCCTGGGCCTCCGAAGCAGAGTGCATGAACTTAACCACTCGGCCACAGGGCTGGCCCCCTCTGATCTTATTATTGACGGCATAGTAGGTCAAATGTTCATTTTTGGTTGTCTCCAAACACACCCATATACACACAAACTGCTATGTAGAACCTCTGATAACATTGATAAGTTTTTTTTTTGAGGAAGATTAGCCCTGAGCTAATATCTGCTGCCAATCCTCCTCTTTTTGCTGAGGAAGACTGGCCCTGAGCTAACATCCGTGCCCATTTTCCTCTACTTTATATGTGGGACGCCTACCACAGCATGGCTTGCCAAGCGGTGCCATGTCCACAGCCGGGATCTGAACCAGCGAACCCCGGACTGCCAAAGCAGAACGTGCGCACTTAACTGCTCCGCCACCGGTCGGCCCCCATTGATGACTTTTGATACCAAAAAACTTATTAGTCTTTTAAAAATTTCTTATATATTTAATATGTAAATAAAACTGCTGTCTTAATAAAAGTTAAATTGTCATTTTAGCTTTATACTGTATTGGAAATTCAGGTCACCCCAAATTTGTGTGTGTGTGTGTAGTTGTGAATACTTTGTAGAAAATTGAAACATGTTGTTATTGTATTTTATAGGGCTTTATGGTTTCACATAATTTCCTGTTGTGACCTGTGGGAAAAAATAGCTCTTCTAAGTTAGTTTGGACAGTTTAATGAACATGAAACAAGCTACATTCTTTGCTTGTAGTGAAGGGATTGGAATGTCAAAATCCTAGGACTACTTTTAAGAGAACAAATTGTCATATGTGTTACTCAGGCTTTTATTCCAGTTCCCATCACTGATTTCTTAGAAAGTCACTTTCACTTCAAAATGAGAATGGTGCTGTGTAGCACATCTCTTACCTCCCTACCTCTCCTATTATCCTGACTGCAAACCCCATAGTCTTTCCTAAACTATTTTATTTCTTTAGGATTAATTAATCAATAGGAGATAAAAGGGTAACATGAGCCAGGTCAAGGTGTTTGAACTTTAGACATTGAAAAGTGATTGAAGTTTTCTGATATGACTGAAATTATGCCAGAATGATCTTGCAGTTTTGTGTAAAGTAATTTGAGTAAAGATTTTATTTCTCTAATCTTATGAGTTTATAAGAGTCCTGAGCAAAGTCTGTTGATTTACTCCTTCAGCACGTTTTCTGACTGCCTCTGATAATGAGGGGCGTTCTCATAGGATTGTAAGAAATAAGGAGGAGATTAAGGTGTGATCCCTTTCCTCAGGGACCTTACAGTAGAAACTGATATCTGATAGAAATGGACTGCTCTAAATCATGATATACGACCTCATGGGTTTAACTCCGGTCAGAGATGGGTAAACAAAGCGTGGTGGGAATGGTGTGGAGGGAGTGATACATTCCATCTTCCTCGAGCTGTCACTGAGGTGGGCCTTGGGTAATGAGAAGGATTTCGGTAATGCCAATATGAGAGGCCATGTGGAAGAATACGTGCAGGGGACATTCCAGATGGAGAGAACAGGATACACAAAGGCCTGGAGATGGAAGCATGTGAATACTTGACTGAAATGCCTTTTAAGGTCACCATCATCTCCATGTTGTTAAATCCTATGAGTCAGTTATCAGTCTTCCTCTTTCCTGACGCGTCGGCAGCGTGTGACACATGGAATACTCTCTCCTTGAAACACCTTCTTCACCTGGCTTCTAGGACATCACTCTCTCCTGGTTCTTCTTCCTCATTGGTTGCTGCTTCTCAGTCATTGCTGGTTCCTCTTCACCCCCTTATCCTCCCAAGATTGGTAGGCCACAGGCCCTTGTCTTTGACCCTTTGTTTCTGCCTACATTCACTTCCATGATCTCATCTAATCTCAGAGCATTAGTTATTATTTATATACTAGAATAATACACTCCAGTCTGGACCTCTCCTTTGAGCTTAAAACTTGGTTGTTAACTGCACCCTTGACAGTTTCACTTGGATGTGCAGTGAGCATGTTCAGAACTGAGATCCTGGTCTTCCCCTAACAGACGTGGTCTTCTCCTTGAAGTCTTCCCTATCACAATAAATGGTGACTCCATTCTTCTAGTTGTTCAGGCCAAAACCTAGCCGTCATCCTCAACTCCTCTCTCATACTGCACATAGCAAATCCCTTTGGCTTAACCTAAGAAGTAGATCCAGAAGTTCACCGCTTTTTACCACCTCTGTTGCTACTGCCCAATTCAAGCCACTGTCAGTCATCTCTCATTGCAGTTATTGTGCTACCTTCGTGACCTGTCTTACCCCTTCCACCCTTGCTTTCCTGCAGTCCATTCTCAACAAAGCCACCATTGTCATCTTTTTACACTTGTCAGGTCATGTCACTTTTCTGCTCAAAACTCTCCTGTGACTTCCCGTCTTCGCACCGCCTTTCCCTTCCTGGCCTCTCATGGAGTACTGTGCACCAGCTGTGTTGACCACCTTGCTTTTCCTTGAACATAAGGCACATTCCTGCCTCAGGTCCTCTGCTTTTCTGGTTCCATCTGCCTGAAACTCGCCTCAATATCTGCATGGCTGGCTTTCTCATCCTTCTTCACGTCTTTGTTCAGAAGTCACCCTTTCAGACAATAAGCACATGAAAAGATTCTCAGCATCATTAGCCATCAGGGAAATGCAAATCAAAACCACAACAAGATACCACCTCATAACCACTGTGATGGCTATAATTTAAACAAAGCAAAAAAACAAAACAGGGGCCAGGCCGGTGCCATAGTGGTTAAGTTTGTGCGCTCTGCTTCGGCAGCCCAGGGTTCGCAGGTTTGGATCCTGGATGCAGACCTATGTTCTGCTTGTTAAGCCATGCTGTGGTCGTGTCCCACATACAAAATAGAGGACAGTTGGCAATAGATGTTAGCTCAGGGCCACTCTTCCTCACCAAAAAAACCCAGCTAGTGACAATTGTTGGTGAGGATGTGGAGAAATTGGGACCCTTATACAGTGCTGTTAGGAATGTAAAATGGTGATTCTGCTTTGAAAAACAGTTTGGCAGTTTCTCAGTGAAACATAGAGTTATATGACCCAGCTATTCCACTTCTAGATTTATACCCAAGATAAATGAAAGCATATGTCCACATAAAAACTGCTACATGAATGTTCATAGAAGTATTATTCATAAAAGCCCAAAAGTGGGAACCATCCAGAAGTCCATCGACCAATGAGTAGTTAAATAAAATGTGGTTTATCCATATAATGGAATATTATTGGTCTTAAAAGGGAATGAGGGGTTGGCCTGGTGGCACAGTGGTTAAGTTTGTGCACTCTGCTTTAGCAGCCTGGAGTTCGCTGGTTTGGATCCTGGGTGCAGACCTACTCACCGCCTATTAAGCCATGCTGTGGCAGGCATCCCACATATAAAATAGAGGAAGAGGGGCACAGATGTTAGCTCGGGGCCAGTCTTCCTCAGCAGAAAGAGGAGGTTGGCAACAGATGTTATCTCAGGGTTAATCTTCCTCAAAAAAAAAAAAAAAGAGAATGAAGTACTGATATGTGACAACATGGTGAACCTTGGAAACATGCTGAGTGAAAGACACTAGTCACAAAAGACCTCAAACTGTATGATTCCATTTGTATGAAATGTCCAGAACAGGCAAATCCATACAAACAAAAAGTAGATTTAATGGTCCCCTAGGGCAGCAGCTTGGTGAGCGGGAGGGTAGTGTGGGAATGGGAGTGACTGCTAATGGATATGGGGTTTCCTTTTGGGGTGATGAAACACTTCTACAATTTATGGTGATGGATGCAGAACTTTATGACTATACTAAAAGCCACTGAATTGTATACTTTAAATGGGTGAATGGTATGAGATGTGAATTATTTCTTACTAAAGTTGTTACAAAAAAAAGTCACCTTCTTGGGCTTTTTTTGACCACCTTTCTTAAAGGCGGTTTTGTAATTTTTTGCTCACTGCGTTATGCTTTGCACATAGTAGGCACTTACTGTTTTTGAATACATTGATTCCTGATAGCTGTTTTCTGTGCCAGGCACATGGTGGAGAGTCAGTCAATAGTGCAGGGATGAATTTCCAGATGTGGAAAGCCTTACTGGGACTTGTGATCCGTCAGTTGATGTTGATGCATCTCCCTCTGTGAGTCCTCTTGTTCTTAAGATGTAGCCCGGATGACAGGCATATAAATGTGGGGCCAGAAAGCGACTCAGAGTGACCGCAGGCTCTCATGATGAAGATTTATCATTGAGTAGCAGAGGACTTTCTGTTCTTTTTTACTCTTTACTTTCTTTGGAGTCTTTCAGGTCACATTTAATTACAGTCTGAGAAAGCACTGGTATCTATGTTTTGTTTTGTTTGTGTAGACGATACCTGAAATTCCACCAAAGCCTGGAGAACTCAAAACGGAGCTTTTGGGACTGAAAGAGAGACAACACGAACCTCAAATTTCTCAGCAGTAGAAACCTCAAAGTACAACTCTGCCAAGAACTCTGTGAATAGTATTATAAGTCTTAAATATGTATTTTTAAAATTTATTGAGTCAAACTGTTTGTCCTTAAGCACCTAATACATTGCTAACTGCAAGGGGAGGTGCTTAGTAGATACTGACTGATGCAGTGGGATTTAATGACGGTTTGACCAGTGTGTCTTGAAAACTGCCAAAGTTTCTATCATCAGCTTCCTGAATGTGGTTTGATGGATATTTAGTCTTGAATATGATGTGAAATAGGGTATTTGCACTGACTCTTGCCCTTATAATTCTGGTTTATTTCTCTGAATAACCTTGACTATAACGGCAAATGGAAATTATAAATTAACTGTAATAAAAGTGGCATTGACTTTTAAATGAATGCTTATGGTGTGAAGTTAATATTTCTCTAAATATAGGAAAGTACTATTTGTACTAAACTGAATTAAGTTGAAATATTTAAAGTTTGAAGTTTTTGGAATTGTGTACGTAACAAAATTATAACAGTTGTGGCTTGGACTGTCACAAATTCTTTACCCCCAAATTTGAGAAATCGTGTTGGCATTTCATTTTTCTTATAAAACATATTTATAAATAACTGATAAAATGAATATTATTATGGGTTGAATTGTGTCCCCCCTAAAAGATTTTGAGTCCTAATCCTTAGTCCCTGTGAATGTGACCTTATTTGGAAATAGGGTCTTTGCAAAAGTAACCGAGTTAAGATGAGGTCAATGGGGTGGGCCCTAATCCAGTGTGATGCCTGTCTTTATAAGAAGAGGAAAACACCATGTAAAGGACACACACGGAGAATGCTATGTGACAACAGAGGCAAAGACTGGAGTGACGCGGCTGCGAGCAGGGAACACAGAGGGCTGAGAGCCATCACCAGAAGCCTGGAAGAGGCAAGGAAGGAGTCCAGCCAGTCTCGGAGCGCGGCTCTGCTGACACGTGGATTTCAGATTTCTGGCCTTCAGAACTGAGAGAATAAATTTCCGTTGTTTTAAGCGACCCAGTTTGTGGTTTTTGTTATGTCAGCCCGTGGAAACTAGTAACAAACATTTCAACCTTTTTTCTGAGTCTATAAATATAGGACAAAAGTAATTCATAGAGCAGTTGGCTTTCTGTTCAGGGCTATTCTAATACAAGAAGTTTTTCAGAATTCTGCATGCTTAAACATAATGTCTAGGCTTACTTCTTAGCCAGTTAGCAGATTGCTACCTGACATAGATCTTTGGTGTCAGTGTTGAAATCTTAAATATTAAATCCCTAAATGCAAACAAAATGTTTTTGTTTCACTCTCCATAGTAAATACTCTTCAGTTTAACAGTATGAAGCAACTAAATGAAATAGCTTCTTTCCAGCCTTATATCAAGCTCGCTCTTTTCTGCTGCCATGTCATGTGGTGCCTTATCATATGCTTCCAGCACCAAGAGGCCTTCCGATTCCGTCAGTGACAGACGAGCGGTAGCCTACCCTAGGGAAAGGATTGGCATTCTGGGTAGAAGATGGAGTTTGGAGTTGAGGCTGCTTGCTGTTTGCTGGGACTTCATTGACTCTGGCCTTGTGCATGAGACTGACCTTCTCTGGATCAAATTTCATAGCTGCCATTAACTCAATGCTTTTTTCCTCAAAAAAATTGTATACTTTACAAATGGTGAAGCTTGCCACAACTGCCAATTGCAAGGGCTTTGTATCAGACTGGAAGAAGTTTGACTATTTTTTTTTAATTAAAGGAATTCAAAAATGGTTTCCTAAACGAGAATTCAGTATTTCTAATCTGGTGCCTAACTTCCTCCCAACAGTTGGAATTCCCAGAGGTGTCAGGAAGGGCACTTAGTATAAATCAACACTAAAAATCATTTTTAGCTCTGAACTAGTTTCAGCAACTGAATTTGTCAGGTGGAGTTTTTATTTCTCATTGCTAAACTGCCAATTTCAGATTCCAGTTCTCCACTAACTTTAGTGGATGAACACCAAGTTGGTGAGCTTTGATAAGGCATTTTGTAGATAGCAGCGAGGAGCCCCTCATTACCTTCCAGAATGAAGGCCTGGGGGCCTCTCCCCGCCTTGGCATGCAGAAAGGACCTGCCCTCTGGGGCCAGTCTCTGCACAAGGGGAGGACCCTCGTGCCATGGGTGAATGCGGTGGACCATACTTGAAAATAGGTCCTTTCATAGGTAGAGTGATTGGTCTAGTCGTTGAGGAAAAAACTCATGATTTGAACCCAACTCTCCTACAAGACAATGGCTTCATGAAGGTGAAAAGTTAATTTTCTAGCTATTAGAAATTTTCCAGAAGTAAAAATGCCATAATTTCAGTAGGTACTGATTCTAAGTGACTTTCACCAAGATATATATTCTTTTCCTTTTTTGAAGTTGACCCCCATTGTGAAAAACATACTTTGTGATGGGTGTTGAAATGTGTTACTCAGATTCCACGAGGAAAGGCTTGCTGCCCCGGGCTGAGTGCTGTCAGTGAGCAGCCTTCAGTTGCCAGCTCCTACACACTTGCCATTCAGCATGACACAGATCGGGTGGGCAGCTCTGAAGGGCCCTATTGTAGCTCAACGCCCCACTGGGTTGACTGAGGCTGTCTTTGTTCCTACCTTGACAGCTGAACTTCTGCTCAATTCCATTTCCTTTCCTTCCACAGGGGTTGATCCGAGGACACTCCTTAATAAACATCCTGTACACTAAACTCCATCCCCGTGCTTCCTGGAAAACCAAATTGGTGACATATACAAACCAAAAATTAAAACTAGTATTAGATTGTTCCTTAATAAAGCTGTGGAGGAAAAAAAGTCCAAGATAGACCAGTTGCAACCTGTTTGGCACACTATGGTAGGTCAGTTAAAGAGTTGTTATACAAGGTGTTTATGATGTAGCTGTTTCTTTTTACCAAAAACTAAGGGAGTATGATACTTTTTATGCTTCGTGCTGGAAACAATGGACATTTGGAATTTGTAATTAGAGGATTTTGAGGAGCAAAAGTTTCACGTCTCTAATTTAATGCAATCTGATGGCTTTAACTTCTGTATCATAACAATCATTAAAAATGGTAATTTATAGTGGCCAAAAAATTGGAAACAAATTATAGCTAATAGCTAACGTAACACTGAATTATGAAAGGAAGCTATACCTTAACTATAGCATGTTTCTCTATGACTGAGCTCCCATTTTATTTCTTGTAAGAGAAAAGGAGGGCAGATTTTTAAAAAGATACACATTCAACTAGAGTAGCTGGTGATTTCAAAACGATTATGGCAAGCTAACCCTAGAAAAACAGCTTGTGGGGAAGGGTAGGAAGGATACAATGAACAGAAATACTAGAAACCCAGAAAGGGGTCCTAGATTTTCAGGAAAATTGTTTAGTCCCTAACAAAACTTATAGTACAGGGGCCAGCCCTGTGGCCGAGTGGTTAAGTTTGCAGTGCTCTGCTTTGGCAGCGCAGGGTTTCACGGGTTCTAATCCTGGGCGCGGACCTAGCACCACTCATCAGGATATGCTGAGGCGGCGTCCCACATAGCTCAACTAGAAGGACCTACAACTAGAATATACAACTATGTACTGGGGGGCTTTGGGGAGAAGAAAAGAAAAAAAGAGGAAGATTGGCAACAGATGTTAGCTCAGGGCCAATCTTTCAAAACAAAAAACAAAACTTACAGTACATAAAATTAGGTTCCACAGAACTTTCTTACATACACATGATCTCTAAATAAGCAGTTGGAAGATTTTCTCTCTAGCCACAGTTACTAGAACAAAACTCCCATTTCGGATGGCTATATGACTACTGAAATTAGAGAAACTTTCTCCCGTAAGTATATATTTCAAAAGAAATTAAATGATAGCTCAATGAGAATCTTCCCTCAATCTCTATTGTTATCTCTGTGGTAGGATTATGGGTGTTTTTTAAAAGACTGCAACTTTTTTGTAAATCTAACTCCAAAATACAAATGCTAAGACAGTACTGTGTTGCCATATACCTCTCCCTATTTCCATGAATGCTATCGTACATGGTACATGTCAAAGCTAAGGAGCCAGTTAACTATCCTCCAGACTTCATTGGGTTTCACTAGTTTTAATCCAGGGCACTCCACTGCGTTTAGGTGCCATGTCTCTTTAAGTCTCTTCCAATCTCTATTTCTCTCCTTGGTTTTGACCTTGAAAGTTTTGAACAAGAGTATGGTTCACGTAGTCTAGGTTTGTCTGATGTTTTTCTCATTAGGTTATTTTTGGAAAGAATACCAGAGGTGTTCTTTCCAAAAGAAAGAACATTTCTCGTCATATCATATCGGGGGGGTACATGACATCATTGGTAATATTAACCTTGATCACTTGGTTAAGGTAGTGACTGCCAGGTTTCTCTGCTATAAAGTTACTGTTTCTCCTTTCTATACTCTGTTCTTTAGAAGACAGTCACTAAGTCCAGCCCTCATTCAAAAAGGAAAGGAGAATTAAGCTTCACCTGGAATTCTCCATATGGAAGATTCTTCTATGGGTGATTTTTAAAAATACTTGATTTTTAAAAAAACTTTTTGATAAGTATGAATTACTTTTGTGAGGAAAAAACCCAAGATGCGTGATTAAAAAAATTATCAGCCAAGTATAGGTAGTTTTATACAACACATTATGAAAAGACAGGCAAGACACTGAGTATTTGGGATCTTTTTTATTTTTATACACATGACAAGATTTTACACCAAGAATAGTCAGTTAAATAGTACAAATTTACATTCATGAGGAATGTTAAAAAAAATTCAACTAAAAAAACCCACTTCTTCCTGTGACCCACAATCCCAACATTTTACAGTGCAGGGGAGAAGGGGGTCAGGGGAGCATCAAAAACAAGTCTCTCCCAAAAGAAATGACTTAAATTTCACATTCCCTCTCCACACAGGATCCAAATGGTGAGAGTGTAATTTACAATTCATCTTTATCAGCTGTGGATTTCTGTAAAAAAAAAATCAGAAGACATTAAAAGCTAGCAGAAAAAACCTTAGCTCACAGAAGTTTCATGTATGGAAAAAAAAAATTTAAATGGACCTAGCCTATTTCCATGATTTCAGCTGTAGGCTAGAACCTCACCTTGCTAATATGCAAAACAATTCAGAACACACCAACAAGATGAATGGCCCCCAAACACAACCAATCAAAAATTTTAAAAAGCCCAATGCTGCTATACAGCGAGGCAGAAGCAAGTGGAAAGAATATGGAAGCATTGTAGGCTAAGGAAGTCTGTTTAAATACATCTCATGAATAGGATGGCTGGAATAAAGGAAGTGGGAAGATCAAAGTATACACTTTATTTAAAGAAAAATGTGATTTGCTCCAGCTTTTGAATTTGATATTAGATGCCTATTTTTAGGCAGAATTAGATGCCTATTTTTAGGCAGATTTCTCTAAGTCACACAGTCCTAACTTTGCCAGAACTGAAAGTGCAAGTCCCATTCTTGAGTTGCTATACCTTTGCTGTTTCTTCTTCTTCGTCATCTGCTCCTCCATCCATTTCTTCGTCTTCGTCTTGCTCCGTGTCGTCTGTGGTGTCCTCTGTTGTTTCTTCAGGTTCTTCTTCGGGTTCTTCTTCAACCTAAGAGCAACATTTATGAGCCCATTAATGGATCTATTTTCACTTTGCTCATTTAAATGTATAAGATCACAATTAACTTCACTTCCGTCTATCCAGAACTGTAGGTAAATCTTCTAATTAGAGTTAACAGTCAAACTAACAAAGGGAGACAGACAAAAAAAAGGATGTAAAAGGAGAATTTCTCATTAATTTCGAGCACAGTGTGATACCGGGGATTCAAAATTCAATAAATTATTTAAAAAAAGTAGAAATCAGTCAAACTTCTCTGAGCGACATCACTTAATCATGGGAAGCCTATTCCTAAAGAAAGGAAGAAAAAAATAAACCTCTGTGGGTAGGCTGAGCATACAAACCTTTGCATCGGGGTCAATGTTTAAACTGAGGCGCAGCATCCTTTCTATTCTATCTCCATATGCTTTCG